GTTTTAAGTTTTTTTTTGTGAAAATCTGAAATATTCATGTTTTTCTGATTTTTTTTATTTGATTCTAGTTGAAACCATTTTTTCATATTATGATTTTTTTTTCTATATTTTATATTTTGTCATTTCAATATAATTGTTTCTATGTTGTTTTTTGTACTTGTTGTGATTTTTTGGTATTTTATATATATTTTTTTATGAAAATATTTTTTCGAAAAATAAAAATTCAACGTGTTATGTCATAGAATTTTGCCTCATGACGTATGAAATTTCCTAATCATAACTGAGTTATTCAATTTGTCATTGATGTTTGTTTATACAATGTAATTTTAAAGAGAAAAAATTGCGATATTATTTAAAATCAAATTTTGTTGTTTTAAAACATGTATTGAACATTGATTTTTATGTATTGCTATATTTATTTATTTCAAATTTGTTTTTAACTTGTTGTTTAAGAATTCCATTACAGCTTCAATTTTCAGGTTAGCATATGAAATATTCAATACCTTTTTTCACTAGCATCATTTTATACATATTTTATTATTTTAAGAGTTAGTTGTTAAATACCATTTACCTATCATTTCACAGTAAAAAAAAGTTTATAACGAAAACATACTTCAAACATAATTCTTTTAGGTTTTGTATCCATCTTATCAAATGTTAAAATGAATTAACATGTAGTTGGGCAGCCCCTCCCCGCTGCCCACGGTGGCGCTCTCCAACCAACTTTGCAGCGCCCCCCATACCAGTTCCAATACCAATTCCAGCTTTATCTGTAGCTTAAGCTTTAATGTGATTACAGTAAAAAAAACAATAAACAGAAGGGTATGTTTGCTTTGAATACTGCATTTGTTGGCAGGCATGGGGATGTTGTAATTATGTTGAAGTCATCTAGCATATGCTGCAGAAATTGTGGCTTGTTGAAGGGACCCTGTAGTAGCATTTATCTAAGGTAGAGTGAGCACCTGGACACTTCTTCAAGAAATATATGCTCTCTGGTGGACATGAACATAGCTTCATCTGCGGCTTAAGCTTTAATGTGACTACAGTTTTGAAAAGCAATAAAGCCGTGCACTCCCACATTGTCCTGCTCTTTTTTTTGTACTTGTTGTTGTTTTTTTGTTTTATTGTTTTTCTATGTCAATATATTCCTTTTTAAAATATGAAATATATTTCTTTGCTGAATTCAATTTGTTCTTTCAAAAAAACGTATCATGCCATATGAAAATTTCTCCTCCAAACTAAACTGTTCAATTTGTTATTGACGTTTGTTGTAAGATAATTCTAAATGAATACTATTTTGAAATTTAATTTCAAAACACATGTTGTTGTTTTGAAATTTGTATTAAACCTTGATTTTTATGTATTCCTATACTTATTTATTTCAAATTTGTTTTTGCATGTTTTTGAAAAATACTATGACAGCTTTTATTTTCAGGTTAGCACATGAAATATTGAATACGTTTTTTCATTGGCATCATTTTATAAATATGTTTTTCATATTAAAACATAGTTGTGTGATACAATTTCCCTATCATTTCACAGAACATACAAACGAAGAAATTAAAAAAGATATGAGCACGCTTATTTTTTGTCCACTTGTCTTTAACTGATCAAATGTCAATGCTTGGCAATCTAAATAAAATGTATAGAAAACTTATCTTGATTTATGTTGACTTATGTTGAATTATGTTGACTTATGTTGATTATGCTAAAGTTAGACATTTTTAGTGAACATCATAAATAACATAATCCAACTCAATCATCATAAAATCGGATGATAAGTATCATAACTTTAAAACACAGGTTATGGAGTTACGATTGTATCTTAGCTGAGTTGTGAGCCTAGCTATAACTGGATAGAACCTAGGTTTTAAAAGGGGGGTGACGCAGTAGCCTGTCAGGACCGACACCGAGTAGCACGGGTTACGCCGAAGGTGACGGCATGAGCATCATAGCCATGATGGCTGTCAACTACCTTTTCCACAAGTGGTTTGAAGCCCAGCAAGTTCCGATCCAGCCACTCAGTTTTGTCGATGACTGGCAGCTGTTGGTTCGACACCATGTTGATGTGCAACATGCTATGTCCCAACTGCAAAAGTTTTGTGACATGATTGACCTCCAGTTGGACGCAAAGAAAACGTTTGTTTGGAGCCTTACCAATCAAGGCCGCAAACACTTGCGTGACCTTGGCATGCGAGGTGAGAAGCAGTGCAGAACGCTTGGGGCCCACCTTGGCTTGTCTGGTGGACATTCCAATGCAACATAGAGTTCAGACTCTACACGAGCTTTGGGACAGCTTCCGTCTGTCTGCCAGCCCTTACAGAGCCAAAGTGCGTGCCCTGCTTACATGTGCCTGGCCCTAAGGTTTGTATGGCGCTGCTGCAACCACCCTTAGCCAGCAAACCCGGGGTAAGCTCCGCAGTGGGGCAATGAGAGGCCTCCATTGTGATGTGGTAGCAGTCCTTGGCTGCAGCTTGGATTAGTTGAGTCGCCGTCCTGTGACCCTGGTTTCTGGTGTATTATCCACATCATTCGATGCATCCGTGACTGTGGTCAACCTGAGGAGACCCTGTCCACCCTTGCCAGCATTGCTCAGTCTGACGTCTGGCCTGACAATGTTGGTCTGACCGGGACCTTGCTTCTGCGTCTCCAGTCGTTGAGTTGGTGTGCCGGTGCCAATGGACATGTTTGGGATCAGTTTGGTAGGTTCTGCCTTTTTGCCAACAATCTCGCTGACATCACTTGGAGAGCTGAACAGGCCTGGCAGAGGGTTGTTGGAGCTGCTGTTGGACATCGCACTGGGTTACGAGATATAGGTAGGGACAATGCCAGGGCAACCAGGTGGTTTGTTGTGAAACTTTCCAAGGAAGATGCTGGTATGTACCGTACCATTTTGAATGGGACGCATTTTACAGGTGAGGCCAAGAAATATTGGATGGAGGATGTTGCGGAACTGTGCCCCTTTTGTGGTTGCTCGGACAGCCGCTACCATCGGTTTTGGCAGTGCGATGCTTTTGCCAGTCATCGCACAGGCTTGCCACCTGACCTTTGGTCCCTCATTCCTCATTTGCCTGAAGCCTTGACCTGCTATGGATGGACACTCCAACCGGATTCCTGGATCGAATGGCACACCCTATTGTGCCAGCCAGCCCCTTGCCCTAGTTTTGCAACACCGCTTGCAACTGTTGACCAATGGATCGACCTCTTCACCGATGGGTCATGCCTTTGGCCCAAACATGAATACAGCCTTGCCTCTTGGGCAGTCGTCCAGGCAACCTCCAGTGGGTCACCCCTTGTACAACAGAAGTCCCATGTGATTGCTGCGGGTCATGTTGAGGGCCTTGCCCAAACTGGGCTGAACTCACCGGAGTTTGTGAAGCCATTCGTTTTGCACAACGGGCCCGTTGCCCTGTGCGCATCTGGTGTGATTGTCAAGGGGTTGTCAACGGATTGAAGGGGCTCCTTTGTGGCACCCGCCGTGTGCGGAGCAGTGGCAAACATGCGGATTTGTGGCTTACTATTGTTGATCTCATTGCGGATGTTCAGCGTGAAAACATTTCCATTACAAAGGTTGCTGCACACCAAGATGTTTCCAGTACAGTTTGTGGTTTTGAGGAATGGTGTTTTCTTCACAACTGCTTGGCAGACAGTGCGGCGCAGCTTGCAAATACGCAGCGCAGCCTTGCCTTTTGGAAAGCACACACAAAGTTCAAACAGCAGATTGAGGAAGAAGCAAGACGAGCTCATCACATCCAGCGTACCCTGCTTTCCATTAGTCGGGCAGTTCTATACCAGCAACATGCAGACCAGACTGCCGGTATCGACGCTGAGATTGAGCCTGACATCTCCCAGAGTGCTGTAGCCTGCCCCACCCCTTGGCCGGGGATTCCGGAGGTTGCAGGTTGCCCCCGGGATTTGGTTGACAGATTCGGGCTACGGGTTGTCACGTCAATTTGTAACTGGTTCTTTGATGTTTTTCACAAGTCCGATGCTGCAAATTCGAGATGGATGTCTTTCTACCAACTCTACATCGACTTCATGCAAAGCACGGGAGACAGTGGCCCGCTTCACCTCACCTCATGGGAGGATCCAATTGATCGGCCACAGATTTCACTGCTTGGTGTTAGTTTCAAGAAGCGATGCAGCTGGTGGACGCATGTTGTCAATTCGTTGATGCATGCGTGGGGGATGCCCTTCCAAACGAGATTTACACGGCCGGACAGTTTGATGTTGCTCTTGCACACCTCATGCCTTTTCTGTCCTTTCCCAGATGCCCGACTGGACGTAATTGATGCATGGCTCGAGCGCCATTTGCAATACCCTGCAAAGCCGGGTGGTAGAGTTCTGAACAGGCTTCCAACGGCAGGACGCCGAGAAGTTATGACCGTTGCACAAAGTGCAATCCAAGTTTGGTAACATGCCGGGCTGCAGGTCGCCTCCGTTCTGCCGCGTCGACGTGCCGCCCGATAAAAGCGATAAAAGTGACGTTTAAGTAGTGGGCACTGGATCCGCATATTTGGGAAAATCCTATATGTCGTTAAGGGGGAATACTAAATCTGAATAAGCCGGGGGGGGTCTCCCCCGCTATAGGTCAACATTGTCAACCTGTTTTTTGGGGTGGTTTAAAAGCATCTCGAATTGACAAAACCCTCCACCATTGAGGTGGGCTTGATGAGGGGGGGAACATTACTGGGGGATCCAAAATCATTGTCTGGTTGAAACACTTGAAACAACACGGAGGCTGAGAGATTCTGCGTTTTCCAATCATCAAATCAGTATGATTTCTCCGAAGCGTCTCAAAAGTGCACAAACATACAAGTGAAGTCCAGCTGTGGTGAGAAATTTCTAAGACTGTAGCCCCACAACATGAAAGTACCCAAGTGCCCAAGGAACTTCAACCCCAAGTGGTTCCAACTGAATCTGACACTGTAAATGATGCCCATATGATGCCCCTGCTGCTTTGATTGTGGGACCTATAGCATGAAACCATATAAAACCATATGAAACCGCGTAACCAACGTTATACCAACATGTTTTTCTGGATCGCTCAAAGCAGACAAATCTCACGGGTCAATTTTCTGTGCCGCAAGATGTCTGAACCTTCAGGATCTTCAGGCAGGGGTCGGGAGATCCACAGTTTGCACAATGGATACAACGGATTCTGTGGACAATTCGGCTCCGTATATGTTCTTGTTGAGGATCATGTTCAATGCTTTTCATATTTTTTAAAATTATTTTAAACATGAGGTTTCTGTTGGCAGGCAATGTAGATGGGATCATGGTGCTCTTCAGGCCTGGATTCGTGGTGGGGCATCAACTTTCGGACATTTTCGGACGTCGTCCTTGGTTTTTTTCGAATTTTGTTTGATGGGTTATAACGTTCTGCTGTGCTGGCAATGTCATTGACTGCCACTTAAACATTCATGAATCGTTTGTCCTCCGTTGTTGTTGTTGTTGTTGGTGGTGGTGGTGGTGGTGTTTGTTTCTTATCCAGTGTTTTAAGTGTGCACCTTTCATCAGGCATTCCCCCTTGGCTGTTGCTTGCCCTTCACCTCTTTTGCTTGTCGGAAACCCAGACGTTCAGAATTAATATACTTGAAAACTTCGACCACTTGTGCATGGCAACATAATTGAATTGTTCGAACAAGCCAAGTTGAACTACCCGCTGGTGGTCAGCAACGTGAAGGTGCTCAACGAAAAGATAAAGGCTGGCGACAGCAACCAATGTAATAGACACGTGGTTTTCTTTTATATTGTTAGCTTTCTGTTGTTGCAAAGCGCAACATTCCCAATGGGGTTGTCATGGTGTGAGCCATGGCCACCATTACATCGCACATGTGCAACCCTTTGCCAGTGTAAGTTGCTGATCTTGACAGAGTTGAGCCTGTTAGTGTTTGCTTGCTGCTTGCGATGCACCTGTCCAAGATGGACAAATCTCACTATCTTTTGATCGCTCTTCGCCCACAGTGGACCAACAGTTGAAACAGCATTGAAGTGCTGGTTGCGGCTCCCTTGACAGGGCACTCGGCCAAAGACTTCGTTGGCGGCTACCATTCGCTTGCTGCGAGAGACGTGAGCCTCAGGGAGAGCTGTTCAAACCGATGTTTTATATGAAAAGGTTGCTGATGGATGATGTGAATCCGGGGAAGTTGCAGGTATGTTTCTTGCTCAGCTACTATGCGTTTTTTCCTGTATATCGCATGGATGGGTGTCGGATTTGTTTCAACAGGTACACAAGCGAGGGCGTCCTTGGCCTGTACAAAGGCGGCCACATTTTCCTGCTGCACCAGGCAAGATGTGGCGCCAGTTGAGCGACAGAGACCTTGGTGTCGAACATTGTCGGGCATGATGGCCATGATGGCCATGGTGGCCATGCCATGGGAGGCCATTCGCGATGGGATGCGTTTCGTGGTAGATCGAGGGCTGCGAGCTCTCGAAAGAAGGACTGTGCCGATCATGACTGGGAGTATAGGAGAGCTGTAGCATATGGACATCTAAACAATATTAGGTTAAACAACTACATGGGCATCTGAATTGACTCAATAGCAATGATTCAACTTGTGGCATTTCGAGGCATTTGATTTGCGCGGAAATGCGCTTCACCAAAAGAACAGCGTTTCAGCATTTGCACTTATAAAAGACGGGTCAGTTCACTCAGTTCTTTGCCTTTCTGACGAGTTCGTCCTGTGGCAGGCTGGGGTGGAAGAAATGGGATGCAGAGGCGCTCAGCAAAGCTAGTGAATCATTTGACTCTTCAAGGGTTCTCTGTCAGAATATTCAGTGAATTTATTGTTTTTGAAGCGACGATTTGCTCGTTTGTTTAGGTGCAGTCCTTTGATTTGCTTTTGATCTGCTGATTTGGTCGCGGGTCCTTTGTTTTGCTGCGTTCACAGGACATTGAGCCCAAATCAAAGCGGCGGAGGTTCTTGGTGAGGCGAGAACAACAAAACGGCTCCGACACTTCTCTACGACAAAGTTCTTACGAAAAGATACGAAAAGATACGAAAAGAACAAGATATAGCCAGACAATACAAGACAAAGAGAAACTTGAGAAATTGTCCATGTCTGGGGAACTTGGCATAAACATTTTCAGCTTGAACCTGTGAGGCTTGCCTTGAAGTACAGCATTGACAGTCTGTGCTACCCTGTGCTGCTGGTTTCCACGAGAACCATCATCAAAAATGACCAGGCGAGTGTGCCCATGCGGCCCATAAGGAATTGCAATTAATGTGGGTTCAATTGCAATTAATTTGGGCTTGGTTTTTTGAATGTCCCTTGGGCTTTTGATTCCATGTAATTCTTGGATTTTCATCCATATGCACGCCACATGTTCAGAGGTATTGGAGAAGCCCATCAGCGGTCCATGTGTTTGACAGAAGGGATGCTGTGAGCCCTACGCGTTTCTGAATCTTGTTGTTCTTTGTCAAATTAATTTCCGCAGATACAAATGAAGTGACATTTTAAGTGCGCCTAATGAATAATTAGTAATTAGTAGACCCAGCTCCACTGTGCCATTTGATTTCATATATCACGTGCAGGGACTCAGCTTCATTAAATAGGACTGGTATATTGCATGAATCCTTTCGGATCCGGAAGCGGTGGGCCACCAGCAAACCCCCACAAAAACCATCAGCGAGGGAAGATAGTCACATGTGGCCCAAAGTTTTGTCTTTTTGCTTTTCTTTACTGTATTTTCCGCGCGTTTGGGCTCCCAGTGGTTTTGGATCGTGGAGTAATTTTTGAATTGTCACAAGACGCGCAAGACGCCCAATTTCACCGGATTTGTGTGTGATTTAATCGTGTGATTACTTGCCTTTGATAACCCGGTGGTGTTTTTTAACATGCGTGACACACCCTCGCATGGACATATTCGCTGCATGTTGTGTTCCGGTGTTTGTTAAGTCACTGGAGGAGGTTTTTTTCTTGTTCGGTAGGAAAGCAAAATTGCCTGACAAAAAAAATGCATATACCTGTTTCCTCAAAACGTACCAAATACTTTGCCAGCATGAGTGAGTTGGGCCGTGGATTCTAGTTTCAGCCAATTGCAGGAAGACACACACACAGATACACATTGAACCACGTGGCAGCAAAGTGGCAACAAACCCATATGTGCATTTTGCTTAAAGGACGTATGTGTGTATATTTATATATACATATATATATATATGTCTCATATTTCATATATATAAATATACGCAGACGCAATCATATTTGCAAATATACACATATATTATACACATATATTATATATGCTTTCGTGGTGCCGAAAATTTTCGCACATGACATGGGGTTTCATTTTGCACCAATTTTGTTCAGGGTGTTGAGGACTGTGGTGAGCTGGTTTCCCTGCTTTGTACTTTCAAAGAAGTATTGAGCCGATGCTGCCAAGGATTTGAGGATTCTGCACTAGGCTACTTCATGCTATTTATTTGTTTATGCAATAACTCTTGCACGGGAGTGTAGTGTTCTTTGAGGAAAGCAGTTGTCACTTCATACACGATTTAGGCACTCAGTTTGAAAAAACACGAACCATTTTCAAAGAACACACTTTCCCTAGGAAAGTGCAGCATCACTTTCGGAGAGGGCAGCAGCTCTGTGACAAGAGTGCAGTAAAGCCTAGCTTTCAATGAGTCTTTCAAGATATACAGTATCCACACAGATAAAAAGCATAGTGTTACCTTTCAAGTTCAGTCCTTTGACATACAGCTGTCCTTTCAGAAAAGTCTGTTGCCATATGCAGTACATACTGTTTCAAGACAGTCCAGTTTCTTCCCTTGAGAAGATGCAGCATATTCCATAGATATAATCTTTCAACATATCATGCGCATTGGTAAAAGCGTGCCGCTTGCTTGTAAGAGAGTGTCGCGTCGCTGTGTGCAAAAAATTGTCTAGAAGAGCGCAGCATTTCAGTGAAAAGAACGCGGCATTTCCTTGAATATGATGCAAACCTATATTGTTTTAAGTTCCGGGAGTCCTCAAAATGTGCGGCATTCTTCCGAAACGATAAGCATTCCTCCGAAAGCAAGCGCCATCCCTTTACTAAAATCTCTCTCGCAACATATATGATGTACATATATGCATATCATACATATATCATGCCTCATATAATTATATATATGCGGTTGTTCCATGGATTGTTGAAAAACACAATATTCCGTTAATAACAATGTAGTAGCACTTTATGCAATTTTACCCTTGAGAGTTCTGGATTACAATACTTCTTTGAAAGAATACCATTGACTACATGTAGGCATGTTTTTTCAGGAAACTTCTTGGCAGAGAAGTTGAGGAAAGAGGCTTTACAATATAATGGCTGCAACACTGTCTGTGTGAAAATAAGGGCCACACCTCTATTGTTTCATTGGCTATTGGGTTTGCACTTTTTGCCCTGAGAAACTCACAAGCAAGTATTGCACTGGGACTGGTTGGGGCATAATCGTTGAATTACCAAAATATTGGAGCGTGATAGACTCATTAAAACACAACTAGTACATAATGCAACAGGTACGGTCCGACTTAGTTGATGAGTTTCCAGCTCATCAAGTACTGCAATCTCATGGGTATCGCATGCGCTGACTAGTGTTTATTTCATGCTCATTAACGGGTGGAACCTGTCCATCGTTTGGTGGGGGTTGGTACTTTAAGCGTTGGGGATTCCGGCGAAATTAAATTGCAATAAACCCAAATATATAGCAATTCAGAAACATCGATATGGTAGATCTTGGGTTGCAAAAATGTGAACCTGACTTCTACCAAAGTCGTTTGACTTTGGTAGATCTTCCATTGCAAAACCAAATATGGTAGATCTTGACCCTTCAAAATGTGATAGCAAGATCTACCATATTTTGCTGGGATAAGGAACATCTACCAAAGTCAAACAACTTTGGTAGAAGTCAGGTTCACATTTTTGCAACCTGACTTCTACAAAATCATTTTTTTCAGACCAAAATTGTTGCTATTAATTTGGGTCTGGATTTTCTCACTTTTCTACCAAAGTCGATCGACTTTGGTAGATAATTGGACCCTAAATAATAGCAACAATTTTCCAATCAATTTTCAGGACTTCAATTGCTAAGATTTCTGAAGGGTGTTTGTGGTCACTAAGCCCACCAAACATTGATAACACTCTTGAGGACCATGATTGCCCCATATTGCTCCAATATTGCTATTGTAGACCCTGATTTTTGGTCGATCCAACCCAACTAGACAAGCTACATAATGGGATGCCTACTGACTGCGCTGCACACAACCTCACAGAATTCTTCTGTGCAGGCCTGTGATACGACTGATCATGTTAGGCAATTTGCAGACCCTTCCGTCACTTGATGATAAAGAATTTCATTACATGTGCTTCCATCCAGAGTTTCACTTGTTTTTGATTTCACGGCATGGGCTCGTATGGACACGTATACGGCTAGCCACTACACGGCTAGGCCCCCAAGACCAAAGTTATGGAGCAAGTCTGTATAAAGGTGAGATGTGCCCTTCCAAATTGCAATATTTTTTTGCCAAAAATGCAGTTAGGAGTGAAATAAATTTTGCACCAGCAAAAAACATCGCAGCCAAAGCTACCACTTGCTTGAGAAGGGGTCGCGTTCGCATAAAGTGCATGTCCATGAGCAAGTGCAGTATTCATTGCACGCCCCTTTATCAAAAAATAGTACTTGCTCAAGAAGAACATGTAGTGCTTACATCAGAAAGTAACGCCAACAAGTGGCACGCTGTAGTCCCGTACGGCAGTCTTTTTGAGAAGTTGGGTGCCTTCAGAAAACACATTGTTTCTCCAGATCAATGCATCAAAATATGCAGTATATCAGTAGTGATGCGTTCACATAATGCTATGCATTTGAGCAAATGTGGTGTGTCTTTCGCAAGATATTATATATTCTGTTGAAATTTTGCGCTCTTTTCAACAATTCAAAATCCCCTGCAAAGGAGCAGCCTCAAGATTGAGAGCCTATGTGTACAATGCAGCGTTTCTCCAAAGGGGTATCTGTATCCTTTTCAGAACGTATAGCCCCATAATCATGCGCAGCATTCCTTTAGTGCAGTGCACATACACACATATAAGACAGAAAGAGAAAGAGAGAGAGAGAGATATATACATAATTACATATGTATATATATATATATACTGTATATATATATACACATGTAGTGTCATAATATATAATTTTGACTTACCAGGGGCAGCATTGCAGGCAAGGCAAAGTTCCGTTCAGATACTGTCAATTCCCTTAAGGTGTTGGACTTGGAGGCTTTCTTTCAAATGTGCTATATTCCTTGGAGGGGAGGTGCTAACCATCAAGGAAAACAGCATTCCTAAATGCATATTTATATGTGGTTCATTCCAATCACATATAAGGGCAAGAATAAAGACAATGTAATTGTTGCATAGTGCAATATCTATACAACTGAATGTTGTGTATAGTGCCCTGTACCTATGCTTAGGTTGTTCCAGGAACTGGAAAGGTTTTGGACCAATCTTCAATGTCAATCCTGTACTTATGATTTGTTCTAAAGGTGGTCCTGATCTTACACTATGTAGTTCCAGTGGTTTCAACATTGAACATTTCCAAAAGAAACATCGGACAATCTTCACTCAACCCCTTACTTTAAACTTTCTGGGGACCGTCCAGGCTTTTAATTTACTCTTGAGTTTCAGTGGATCAAAGATCGAATACTGCCAGGACAAGTTTTGAATCCAGTTAACTTAAAGTGCTTGACAGCTCTTGAAGAATGTCCATTATACAAGGGATAGAATATTACCAGAGAAATTGGCAGACATCTTGCAGCAATTTAAAAAACAGAGCACCTTAACTTAACATCCATGAGCGGCTTGATTTATGCTACGTAGGGGATTCAATATTTCAATCAAGCTGTCGTAGAATCTTGAATTTTCAGCGTAGCGAGCTTCGATGTGCTTTTAAGTCCCTATACATGGCCGAATGTACGTTAAGCGCATGATTCAAAATCTTACAACTTATCTTGAATTATGTTCTATGAATATTCTACCTTCAAGCTATTGGAACTTGAAAGTGGGTCATTTCAATCCTCTAAGTATCCAAAAATAAACAACTGCAAATTTGGTTGCATGCGCTTTACCTTAGTAAGACAAACAAATCTGACGCAGAAAGGCCGCCAAGAGAATCCCTTACATTTCTGTATGCATGTATTATATAAATATATGTTATACCAATAAATATGTATATAGTCTATATGAGACAAGTTGTTTTTGGATGTCCAACACTGACACTGAGGCCCAAGACAAAATCTATATATATATAATTATTTAATTACATATACAATATTTGTGTATCAAACTGCAAATGCCAACTATATCTGCACGTGAAAATCAACATCACATATATCAATATATATATATATATATCAATATATATATATGATCTACATGGCCCAAGGCACATTCAAAAAACCGGACTCAAATTAATTGCAATTGAACCCAAATTAATTGCAATTCCTTCCATGCTATGCAACATGATTGTCATGTTTGCAATATGCAATATTTGACAGATATGATATGCCTAATGTGCAATCAATATGCAATCAATGTGCGAAAAATGTTCTGGCCATGGCATCCATGGCATCCATGGTACCGGGATGTACCGGGGCAACATGGGGCAACCGTTCCAGGAGACTTCGTGGCAATCGGTTTGCACATGGAGTCGGGGCACCCGACATCGACACCGGTCCGAGGTGTTCTTTTCAGCGAAGACCAATAGAACGTTCGGGTTGAACATCGTTGAACCAATTTTGGAACATCATGTTGAACATCATGTTGAACATATTTGAACATGTTGAACAGATAAGTTTTTTTTTAGCAGAAACTGCATCACTTGGTCCTCATATGTCCTCGTGGTCCTCGTGTGCAGAGCACTTGCAGCTGTGTGTTCTTTGGCGTTTCCTGAAGAACCCATTTTCTGGTGGAGATTGTTGGCGAAAGATCTTTAGCTCGTTGGACTCGACGAAGATAGTTCAACAGTGTTCAACAGGTAGTTCTGACAGTTTCTCCCTTTGCAACCCAAGCGTGAGCCGCACCGATTGGCCCCGTTGGCTGCCGCGGTGGCCATGAGGTCGGGAGGAGGGACTTCTGTCACTCTTCGCGGGGCTCACGGCGTCTTTGATCTCAATGGCAGTTGAAGAGGTGCCCCAAATCAAGCGCGCTTCACACTGCTTGATACTGTCAGAATGTGTCATAACAGTTCTGACATGCTTCGAAATTCCACGCTTCTAAATGTCAGGGCTGAGCCAGGACTCATATTCGAAGTGTCAGATCATAATGACTTGGCATTGAAACCACGTCCTGTAGAGGCCATGGAGATGATCTTGGCTTATTGCATTGAGAGACATGCCAAGGGAAATCAACTCGACGTCTCGGACAAGTTGGTGCTGAAGGCTAGGGACGAACCTCATCCGGATTTCTGCACGACTTCGTTGCCTCTTCCATTCTTTAAATTTCTACAACAGTTGAAATGCGCCTAGGGCCTAGATGCGTCTAACAGTCGAACAATATTTTGCTGTCACATTTTCCTGTTAGATTTGAAATCTAATCAGATTTTGTCAAAGACGCCTCCATTCATGTGGACTGAAGGCGTGTGGCAGCTCTGTGTTGTCTGTGTTCACCTCGCCTGTGAACCACGTGGGTGTCATACAAAGGCGTGGCTCACGTGGCTTGGTGTAGTTTGCAGAGACCGACCTCTTGAGCCTGCGGAAGTTGCAAAGTAATAAAAATGAGTAGATATGATATGAGTAGTTTGAGCATCAGATGTCTCGAAGTTGGGGTTTTAGCACTGCACTCTTGACCACCGGATATCACCAGATGGAGTGGGGATGTCAAATGATGAAAAACAGGTTGTTCACACGATGCACAGGCGCCTAAACATCCTAAACACAGGCGCCAATCACTGCGATTGCAACGTGCCAATGTCAGGTGCCAATCGCGTTTACCTGGCCTTCCCGAGCTCGACCCTGAACAGACTTTCGGACCGTGGGAATATGTCAGAATACAATCGAATTGCCGTTTGTAATTCTGTGGCAATTCTGTGTTTCTATGGCAACTGTGTTTCTGCAACTGTTTGTGCCGTTTGTGTTTCTATCAACCGTCCCTTTTTGAAGCCACGTTTCTGGTGCTCGGAGAGTCGGAGAGGCCCCGCAGCGTGGCTTCGATTGTCCGGGGACTGCCTTGGCGAGGTGCCAGATGATGCCAAGAATGCTAGTGCCAAATCATGAATAACGTGCTGGATCATTATAAATGCGAATCTTATGCTGAGCCACGAACAGTAACGTGGACTGGTGTCAACCAGAACACTTCGAACAGATATTCTGTGTGAGCAGGTTGAATGGATGGAATCGGGGAGAGAGAGAAAGAGAGAGAGAGAGAGAGAGTTTGCAGTTTTTGTGGCATCAAACCGGACTTGAGAAAGTAACAAACGTGGTTGTGGTCACAAGAGTAATGAATGTGACAAATCGGACAAGTGGAAACATTTTTTATAATGATTTTTAGTTTGCTGCATTGCCTTTTTGGCCCTTACAGTGTGAACGCTAACTGCTCTAAATTAGCCGTCAGTTAACACATACTGGGCAGACTTTCCCTTAGTTCAACCGATTCCCTGTTGATCACACGCTTGTATGACTTTTGAACACATTTGCATACCAATGCTGGATGACAATCCATGTACAATTATCGCATTTGGCTGCGATGACAAGGATCCTTCAATCAATTGCTGCTTTTCGGGGGCATCTTGACTCTGAACGTCAGGTGCAAGCTGCCACAATATCAAACATCACAAAGACATTCAACGACCTGCAAAGACTGTACATGTCCAAAGACATAGTCAGTTTGTTTCTGATGTTTCGCAGAGTTGCATGTCGACTTGATCGTTGTAATGCAGTTGGGACATCAATTTGCTGCATTTTGTGTCAAGTGTGGTCCACATGTCTGCAGGCTCATTCAATGGAAATTGCAGATGCAGGCTAATGGGATTGGAAGCGGACAGCACTGTGAAGAGACTGGCTTCATTTTTTTTGCCATCTATGCTTCAGCAAAGCGCCTGGAGATTTTAAGTCGGTGGAAACGGGCCAAAGAATTCAGAAAAACAACAGCATATTCTTCGAGAAAAGCAACAACTGAAAGCATCATACCCTATGCATCCTATAATTTATATATACGAAGAGAAGCGGCAAAGTCCATCTCTTTTCCTTTGTAAGCATCAGGAAGTTCAAGGAGAACAGAAGAGACGAAGAACCAAAGCAGGGATGCCGGTTGGGCATCCCTGCACGCGTTGTGGATCGTTTTTGGTGTCAGCACTTGCAGGCGGAGAATGAGGAGGAATGATGCCGCTCAGAAAAATGGACGCATTGATACTGTGGAGTTTGTACATGTCAACTTTGCAACAGGCTGCAACCAGGTGCAACAGCTGTGCGTCAATGGCACTGTCCTACTGGAGTCAATGTGTCACACACTAGACAAAAATTGGATCTTTTAAGTGATCCATCAGGAACTGAGTCCTTTCACATGCAACAAGACATTGTTGGGGTTCTCGGCTTAGCCGCTTAGCCCCTAGCCATACGAAAAAAGAATGCAGGTACAGGAATGTGCGTCCACATTCCCCTCCGGCTGAATCCCATAGCTTCGTTGGTATGGCTAGGGAAACAGCTGCCATGCCCCCTGCTTTGATTTTGACAACCCTTGTTTGAAGGAAAGAAAAAAGAACAAAGGATAAGTTTTACATCTATTTAGACGTTACACACACGCACACACAGACAGACAGACAGACAGACAGACGGACACACACACACACACACACGGCCGGAGCCGGAGCCGGGACAACCCTGAAAGGCAAGAGGAAGAAAAAAGCGGACACAAACGACGGGCAAAAGGCCAAAACAGCGCAGGGGGGGAAGGGAACAGACGGACCTCCAGAACCAACCTAATTACGCGGCGAAACGGACCTAACCAGCACAGGGCACACACCTAAACCCCACAACACATTACAGAGGGGCACGGGGGAAGAATTAGGGATTAGTTGGTGACAGAAGTGAAACAACAATTTTAATTAATGAAAAGGAACCAGTTCAACCCTGGAGAGTCGTGCGTCGTTCACGAACGGGACCGTAGTCAAATCCAGCCACATGGGCAAAAACAGCTATTCAAGTTCCAACGAATTAGATGCACAAAATGTTCAACCTCACCAGAAAAAAGTGACCACACCTGCAGGAAAAGGACATGCCTGCTGCGTCATGTTGAAATGCGAAAAGCTTGAGCTGCGGTCAAAAAGGAAGTTTCTGGCAGTTCGGCAACATTTCACTGTAGCAAAGGTGCGAGTTCTAAAGACACTCAAGGGACGGCCGGAGCAGCAGGACTTCACAAAAAAGCAGAATAACGGAAAGGCCAACTGTTGCTTGCACTTTACTTAAACGAACTTCCAGCTTAAAAATGTCAATTCTGTAATCCGATCTGTCAACATTCACCCTAAACAGGGCCCTATGGCACCTTGTCGGAGTCACCATAGGAACCACACTAGGCAAAAATTGGATCTTTTAAGTGATCCATCAAGAACTGAGTCCTTTCACATGCAACAAGACATTGTTGGGGTTCTCGGCTTAGCCGCTTAGCCCCTAGCCATACGAAAAAAGAATGCAGGTACAGGAATGTGCGTCCACATTCCCCTCCGGCTGAATCCCATAGCTTCGTTGGTATGGCTAGGGAAACAGCTGCCATGCCCCCTGCTTTGATTTTGACAACCCTTGTTTGAAGGAAAGAAAAAAGAAAAAAAATAAGTTTTACATCTATTTAGATGTTACACACACACACCGGGTGACCAGGTCCTTTATTGAATTGCTTCATTGTCACCTTCCTTATTGCTTGACTTTCCTTCTTGGACGCAGTGATAACCAAGCACCATCAAGGCCCAAAGGCGACAACCCCCCTGTCTTCAGCCCCGTGTCGTTGTTGTCGATCACAGCTGGAGAAAGACCATGGATTCATTCGGCCCATTTTGTTGAGGATTCATCACGGTACTTCCGCAATGTTCCGCATTAGAAATATCCAAAAACGGGAGTCTTGCTGAGCCTTCATTGAGAAAGAAACACCTTGAACACGGTCGAACTTTAATTTTGGAAAAGAAGTACAGTACATCAGCACTGGAGAAGGATTACGGACTCTTTTGGCTTAGAGATTTGGGGGAATTCACAGCTTGTTCCGCAGTGGCAAACCCAAAGGGTGTCCTGGTGTGACGGTGTGACTACTGAAACACAAGGCATCCTTTGACTTCAGTCATCTTCAATCCAACAGAGACTGGTTGGTTGGCTCACAGCAGTTTTGATTTTGCTTCCTTGCGCCTCCCAAATTGAGGCTGGCAACATTGGGAATTGTGTCAATGCTGGGAATGGGAAAGTTCTGTGACATGGGACCTCGAGAATCTAGAGAGGGCTAGGATAGGACCAAGACAGGACGAGAACTAGTCAGAACTTGCCCGGTCCTCTACGGAAACATACAAAAACTAAATCCCTTCCGAGTGGAGCATGTGGAAGGTTCAAGTCAAAAACCACATCAGGATACATCAGGTTTTTTCTTGCGCAAATTCTGTGCAAACTGACACTGTTTGCCGTGACTTCAGGATGATCTACGCGATTGTCATTTCGGCTTTGCTCAGCAGCACTGCTGCCATTGAGCTCTCAGACGCTTGGAAACGCATGGAGCTTTGCTACATTGTTGGACCAATTTGCACCAGTTCAGATGTAGAAATTTGGTGTTGCATGGTGGTGCATGGGTGCCATACCCCTTGGATCCCCTTGTGCATATGGGAGTCGTTCTGGTGGCGATTATTCAACGAAATACCAAGCCTGTAATTCGCTTGGGGGCGAAAGGAGGCGGAAGGGCTGCGAAAGCGCGGTGAAAGGGCCAGCTCTGGAAACACTGGTTTTAAGTTTTTTTAACGCAACCCGCAAAAAAACTGTCGAAATGTTGACCCATGTTTGATCTCACACAGAGTTATTGCAGCTGGCTTTTCCTTGCAACTATAGTGAAATGGGCAGCTCTTTCATGTGGTTTCCTTGCGTAATAGCTCAGGAGAAGAACTGGGACGTCCCGGACTTACACAGTGAGAATGTGTGTGAAAAGTCTGGTTCTTCCGTTGCGACAATTTTTCTGATCTGCTTGACAATGTAATGTTTCGGGATGCTTGATGCTGAAATATCATAAATATTTGTTGATATTGATTTTGCGAGCTGCTGGAAAGTTGTAAGATTCTGCGAGGCAGAAACGGCAGGGAAGAGTGTCTTCATCAAATTCTATGCCCCGTGGTGCGGTGCGGTCTGCAGCTGGGAAAGTCCGACTTCACTTCTTTCAACGCTGTGACGGCTGTGAACATCTGTGAAGCAGTAAAACTCATGTTGAGCTCATGCAAAGCTCATCGGCAAGTGCATCACGTGCATCCTGTGTATCGCGTGCATCGTCTTTTGCTTGACAGGCCACTGCAAGAAACTGAAACCTGATTGGGACAAACTGATGGATGAAATCAACGGCGGTCCTGGATCTCTCGTTGCAGATGTGGATTGCACCGGGGAGGGCCAGTCCTTGTGCCAAAAGCATGGAGTTGCTCGGCGCAAAGATCGCAAAGCTGAATTTCAAGTAGCACCAGTATAGCACCACCTGGCCCCGCAATTTGCCATACTTTGCCCATCAGATCATGCGACAGAAGATGATGAAGATGTCAGCATTATGTGATGTAACATGATGTAACTATGTAACCATGATGTGACCTGTGACAGTGTGCGTGAGTTTGGAATCCGTTGGAAATTCAACTTTCAGTCAGTGATTCAGTGATGATAGTGATCAGTGATGCCAAATTACTTGAGAGGTCGGGGGATACCCCACACTCAAGTTCCTTGGCAGAGTTCAGGTATGGAATTCAAGGGTTTGGATATGTTTGGATAGTTTGGATCTTCATGATGTTCATGTTTGTGCTCCTGCCTCATTGTATCTTGGTTTGTTTTAGGTATGGCGATCCTGGCGACTTGCAGGAAACCAGTGTGGCCAGATGTGGCCAGGGTAGAGTTGGTGAAGTGACTACAGCGACTGAGACACGGTGAAACTTTGAAACATAGTGAAGGTTTGGTTATAGTTAACCTTGCCTTGAACCACAGCGAACTTGTTTTTTTAATGTACAATAATATACACCATTCCCCTTCCTGAAACTCTTCGCTTGGTATGCCTTGGCTCTCCAAACTCCAGTCGACCTTGAGTGGTTCTCCGGATTGGTGTCGTTCATAGCTAGGAACCTGCTGAAAGGCTGAAGGTTGTGAGTTTCTTGCAGGACTATCAAGGTGGTCGAGACTTCAATTCCTTGAAGAAGTTTGCAGAAGAGAACCTGGGACCGTTTCTTGGACTCAACGAGAAGGATCGAGAAGGTCAGAAACGTGTGGGAAGAGCACTTGCGCCCAGGGGGAGCCATTGAACCTGTAGGCCTGTAGGCTGTGGTTTCCAGTTTGCATTGTTCGTTGACGTTTACATTGTTTGCACTTTGTTTACACTTTGTTTGCCCGTGTTTGGGTCGGGAAGTTCAGGACTTGCGGCCCAGCGAATTTGGATCTTTGCAGTGACGAGGTGAAGAAAAAGATCGAAGGTTACATGGTGCCTTGGATATCTGTGATACTTCTTCAATGATACTTCAGAGACTCAACCAACTATGCAAACAGACCAAAGCCACTGTCCAGACTGTCCAGGCTGTCCAGACTGTCCAGACTGTCCAGACTGTTCATGTCTGAAGTCTTAAGATGTCTTAAGTATTTTTGTGGCATGTTGCGGTGTCGGTGTGCCATGGTGGTCCTTGAATTTATTGAATCTCGTGGATTCAATGGATTTATCACCAGATCAGACAGATCAGAGAGCAGTGGGGTTGGATGTTCATGGATTTTTGATTTGACAACCGGACGGCGGTCCAAGGCGATGTCTCCAGATCGGCTCGAGGGCAAGATTCGGAATGCAATTCGAATTGTGGAAGAGGAGGTGCAAAGAAACATAGAAGGAACATTGATTTTCTTTGAAAGTCGCGGCCCTCACCCGGTGATTCATGGCATTCAGATTGCAAGGTGCCTTTCATGAAGAAGGTCTCTGCTCACATGAAAAAGGCAAAGAGTGAGCTCTAAGGTGCAGCTTAGGCTCCGGATTGCTTGGTTTTGGCGACTTCACCTCAGACTTACAAGAAGTCAAGGGCCACTTCCAAAATTGAGTGGCAACACTGCAAGACAGTTCAAAGCGTTGATGTTGTTGCTTCCAACCAGCGACGCAATTGGCTCACCTAGAGCGGAATGCTGAGTGTTGGGAAGCAGTTTCTGTTTCTAGCTTTGGAGAAGAAACCAGTCGCGCACAAGCGACGAAAAGAACTTGGCATTGAGAAGTATTGAATTGATTTCAGGACTTCTGTCGTAGTGCATGAAGGATCAATAAAATTGTTTGCTGCCTGGTTGTATCTGGTTGTGCGTCCCATCATTTCATTTTGGAAAAGAAGTACAGTACATCAGCACTGGAGAAGGATTACGGACTCTTTTGGCTTAGAGATTTGGGGGAATTCACAGCTTGTTCCGCAGTGGCAAACCCAAAGGGTGTCCTGGTGTGACGGTGTGACTACTGAAACACAAGGCATCCTTTGACTTCAGTCATCTCAATCCAACAGAGACTGGCTGGTTGGCTCACAGCAGTTTTGGATTTTGCTTCCTTGCGCCTTCCCAAATTGGAGGCTGGCAACCTGGGAATTGCGTCAATGCTGGGAATGGAAAGTTCTGTGCATGGGACCCTCGAGAATCTAGGAGGGCTAGGATAGGACCAAAACAGGCTGAGAAACTAGCAGAATTGCCCGGGGTCCTCTATCGGAAACATACAAAACTAATCCCTCCGAGTGTAGCATGGTGGAGGTTTCAAGGTCAAAAACACATCAGGTTTTTTCTTGCGCAAATTCTGTGCAAACTGACACTGTTTGCCGTGACTTCAGGATGATCTACGCGATTGTCATTTCGGCTTTGCTCAGCAGCACTGCTGCCATTGAGCTCTCAGACGCTTGGAAACGCATGGAGCTTTGCTACATTGTTGGACCAATTTGCAACAGTTCAGATGTAGAAATTTGGTGTTGCATGGTGGTGCATGGGTGCCATACTATGGTGCCAAAAAAAGTTAGTAACTGGGTTATAACCTAGGGTTATATCCCAGTTACTAAGTCATAACTTCTTAGCTAACTTTTTGTAACTTTTTTTTTGCTATAAAAAAAAGTGTCTTTAAAAGTGATCAAATTTTGATCTTTTTGATGATTTTGAGTGTTTGCTGTTTGCAGCGTTTTCAACTGCTCAAAAAATGCCAAATGGAGCGGTTTTCAAACCTCTAAAAGCTATTTTTGTTGGAACAGCCGTTTTCAGCATGTCAAACACTATAATTAATCACGTGTTAAAACCCAAACTGTGAATGAAGATGTGTTCATGTCCACTAGAGAGGATGTATTGCTTGAAGAAGTGTCCAGGTGTTCACTTTACCTTGGCTAAATGCTGCAGAGTCCCTTTGACAAAGCTCAATTTTTGCAGGATATCCTAGATGTCTTCAACGTAATTACAATATACATCACAATACCCATACCTGCCAACAAATGCATGCACTATTCCAAACAGAAATGCAGCATACCCTTCTTCATAAGTGCAATCTTCCTTTGGAGCAACGCAGTGTGTTTTTGCAGAACAATATCCCTATGAAATATCAAATGTTCCTTTAAAAGATACACCATGCCCTTTGGAGGAGTACAGTGTGCATTTAACAAAATTTCCTTTGAAAGGGGTCCTCAAGGTGAAAGGGGTCCTGGCCTAGAAGCCTCCAAGATTAATTTCGACCGAGTTTTTGCCTTTGTATGAAAAACTCGGTCGAAATTAATCTTGGGGGCTTCGCGCGCATAAGGAACATTCTTGGCCAGGACCTCTTTCACCTTGGGGGCCCATTTCAAAGGAAATCTTGTTATTTCCACATGTCTAACCTTCCTTTCAAAGGAGCAGTATCCCTTTTAGAAAAGCCAATATTGCTGCACAATATGCTGTATTTTTGACATAGAGCATCGCTTTCAAAAGTGCAATATGTTTTGAAATGTGAGATTCTTTCAGAATGTTTTTTTCGCTCCTTACAACAGAGCATTGTCCTTTATGGCAACACAATCTTCCTTTGAAAAAGCAGCATTCGTGGAAACCTGGATTACTGTTCATTGATATATGTATCTAATCTACTCTAATCTAATCCAATTCAATCCAATCCAATCCAGTCAAATCCAATCTATCTAATCTAATCTAATCCAATCTAATC